TGGGACAGGTTACCTTAGCAACAGGTTGGAACAGGGCAGGTTATCATGATAAGGGCGGAGGAAGGGCTCTGAAGTCCCTGCCGGGCAGACTCCAACTTCCTGGACTTACTCAAATTGGCCTCCTTGATCCAACCTGACTCAATTTACCTATCTATGTTGACTGCCTGGCTAATTCTGGCTTCACCAGGGTGAACTCATTCAGGGTTTAATTTGACTTTTATCACTTTTATTACTTTTGCATAATAAACCTATCAAGTAACCGTCATGTTAATGACTGTACTTAAGATAATGTATTTTTTTTCATTTTAACATTTGATTTTTGGTAGTATTAGTGCTTTTCTTACTGGAAAGAAGAATGTAATTTTTCTGTTTAATTTTGAATAGGTTTTTTTTTATCTTAAAAATACTCTAATATATGTATTGTTTTTGAAATTTGTTTTATTTATTAAACTTTATATTTTGATATTTAATCATAGTGTTTAAAAACATTAAGTTTTCATTGTATATAAGGTAATTATCAATTATGATAATGTACTGTGAATTTCAAGAACTGGAGAAAGGATTTTGAATATTCTAACTGCAAAGAAATAAATGTTTGAGGAGAAAGATATTTGCCTTGATTTGGACATTGTGCAAAGTATACATGCATTAAAACATCATAAAGACTCCATAAATATGTGCAAATAAGTAACAATTAAAAAGATGTTTTCACCAAGAAAACATGATAGATCATTCAGAAGATAGATGTTTAGCTTGACTTAAACATTATACAGACTATACAAACAGGGAAATACCACATTGTTAACTGTTATTAGGTGTAAGTTTTGTTTTAATCTATCACTTTTTCAAAAAATAAAAGAAAAAATGAAAATATTGATAAAATAAACAAATATGATAGTAGATTAATGGCACAAAATATTAGTGAGTTAAACAACTGAGGGTCAAATATAGTGGATAGTTAGAGAAGATTTAAGAGAATGTGAATTCTCTTACATAGATTGTAGTGAAATGTGAATTCCTTTGCTGTGGCTCCACCACTTTGGCCTTGTGGGCTGCAACCAACATGGCTTCTCTCTTGGATGGCTCTGCCCATTGCTTCCTACAGCTTTCCTTGGCAGATGTTCCATGTTACTAGAATCTCTTAATTCCTAAGGTCTCCACTGCAGCTTTAGCTTCATTCTCACATTTTTATGCATTTCTGTCTCAGGGGCTACCTGAAGAGATTCTGACCCTTCTGCACTTTGCCTGGCCCCCCAGGACTTCCTGTGAAATCTCAGTGGAGGCCTCCAGGATCCCCAACTCCAGAATCATACATTCTTGAACAACTGGCACCACATGGATGATGTCAACTCCTGCTGCCAGCTCAAGGAATAGCTGGGCTCCTTGACTATGATTGCAGGGGCCCTTGAGTCTAGACAACTGAACATTATTTAAGGAATCCTGAGGAAGAAACTTCATAGGTCCCTCTTATGGAGGCAGGGTGCTCCTATGATCTCTTTTCAAATGTATTTTTATTTTACACCCTTAAGACTTCAATGGGTGTAGTTTTCTAAGGTGCCCTCAAGGAATCTTTTCTAGTATCTCTGGATAAAATACTTAGCTTCTCTTTAGTGGTGGTAATCTCTTCGGCAACTACATCTACTTCTTTGGCCAAACTGAAAACTTTTTCAATCTTTCCTAGTTCTTTGCTTCTCATTATCACAGTAAATTTGGATAAAAACCCACCAGCAATACCCATTCAACTTTATGAATTTGTGCTGCCTTGAAATTTCCTCCCCCAGATTAATTAGTCCATCAACTATAAATTGAGACTCAAAGTTTCAGGTCATGGGCAAATTGCAAACAGGTTCTTTGCTGTCATGTGACTGTATCTAATGTGACTTGTTTCTAATCCAATTCCTAAGAATCCTCATTACCATCTGAAACCTCATGAACATAGTCTTTTTACTGTTCACATTTTTATCAACATTCTAATCTTCTCAGCTCCCATCAGAATTACCTAATAAGCTTTGCTTTTAGTATTCTAATTTTTCTTCAGCCTCCATCTCCAAACTTATCCAAACTCCAAAAGGCTTCTGAACCACATGGTCAGGTTACTTACAGCAACAACCTCACTTTTCAGTATCAATTTGTATGTTAGTCAGCTTTTCATCGCTGTGACCAAAGTACCTGACAACAGTTACTTAGCAAAGAAATAATTTATTCTGAGTTCATAGTTTTAAGGACTAAACCTCTGAGTCAGTGAGCCCAAAATATATTTTTCTTTACTAATTCTCAACTGACATATAATTTTAAGCACCTAACTAATTTTAGAAATGTAATTTTAAGTACCTAATTTTAGAAATGCAAGACACTGATTTCTCAAAATAAAATGTCTTTGTTTTTTCTGTATGTGTTTAAGTTTTTTTGCTTTTGTTTTTTGATGTGTGTGTTTTAGCAGAGTCTGAATATAGGTTTCCTTTGTGTATATACTCAAGGAGTTTGCCAAGATTTACATTTATGTTTTGATTTCTCTAATCAATTTTAGGTACCTTTGAGCTATTAATTGAATCTTTTCAATTAATTGAGCTATTATTAGAATCTTGTTCCTCTATCCCAAAAGACTGATAAATTTACCTGCTTCTGTCAATTCTCCCTCCTTTGAGACTCCAGTTATTCATATGTTGTGTCAATAGATTCTGCACGACACATTTTTTTACTGTTTTTGATTTGTTCTTGTTTATGCACTTTAGTCTTTCTGTATTTCACTTGTGGCAATTCTACATGAGACTTTCTTCAAGTTTAACATATTTCCCTCTGTGTCCATATGACTCGTGAGACATTATTTCACATATTTATTCTGTACTTACAGAATAATACATGATTTTTAGAGTCATTTTGTTTTGGTTATCTTTTTATTTTTACTCCTTTACGTCTTATTTATATAGTTTCTTTAACATACTTAAAAGAGTTGTTCAAAAGGTATTGATAGCATTGTAGCTTCAGGAGCTAAGTGTCTGCTATTTACTAACTTTATTTTCTCTTCCTGGACATATTTTTTGTCCTTTCATGTGTGCTTTAATTTTCATTTGAGTCCACACATTTTGCATGAGATGGAATGTTATGACTTAAGTTTACATAATTACTCCCAACAAAGAGAGTGTTTGCTTTCTTTTGATCTAATTAAACTCATTTGGGCCTGGGTTGCATTTTAGTTTGAGTCAGTCCACTTCTGGTGTGAAAAGATGCAAAGAGAGGACTGTGTGTGTGTGTGTGTGTGCGTGCACACTCATATGTTTTCAGTTGAGAACATGGTTAGAATCCATGCCCATGACCATGCTTCTTTGACGCTTTGTCTCCTGTTCTAAGATCTGATCCTGAGTGATTTTCAAATATAGCAAATATGTTCAATAAAGATACTGTGTACTTAAAGCAGGCCATTTTTGCTGGTGGGACTCTTTGTCTGAGAATATGGGAAATTTCAGTCCAAAGCTTCTGTAAGGAACTCTGATTCTACACAAGTTTCAGAAAATTTTATGCTACACGTAATCTCTCCAAGTTCGTCTGGTTTTTCCTTTCTTCATTACCATTCCTCTATTTATTCAAGTTCTGATCATTAATCTATATCCAGAGCTGGCAGTCATAATCAGGTAAGAAATAGCCAAAGACCATATGTTTGCATGAAATAGGGCTTTCTCACTTGGATTTAATTCATTTAATCCTCTCAACCCCACAATTTACTTTTAAACACACACACACACACACACACACACACACACACACACACAC